TTCCTGCTGGGGGAAGTAAGTGCCCGCCTCCAGCCTGCCAAACAGGCCGGAGTTGCGTAGGATGCGGGCTTCATGTGCCCTGCTGGACCAGCCCGCATAAATGTCCAGGAAGCAGCCATGGTGGTCCATGAGGGCCTGGAGTACAATTGAGAAGTACCCCTTTCTGTTTATAAAATGGCCGCTCGATGCTCCTAGGGCACGGATGGGGATGTGGGTTGCATCCAGGGCTCCCCCGCAGTTGGGGAACCCCAGGGCCACCATAGCCTTCACGTCCCGCAGGCGGATGACTCGATGGAGCAGGACATCGTTGATGGCACAGACGACCTGCAGAAGGGTGCACAGAAACACAGGGGAACGCATCACATAAGGTAGGGTGAGTGTGTGCTCCCTTGGGGGCTTCCCCCCCCCACCCCCGTGATGCCCTCTGTCCTCACACACACACACGCACCAGGGCCCCCTCGCCCCACAGGCACCCCCCCTCCAGCAGGCCTGTGCAAGGGAGGGATGGCCCAAACCCCTGGGTGACCCAGTCTGGAGTCTTGCCTGCCCCTGGGCACCCTCCCCCCCTCCCACGGCATGACGACGGCACCGACAGTTGATCTGCCCACCCCGAACTGGTGTGCCACCGATCGGTAGCTATCTAGGGTGGCCAGCTTCCATAGTGCGATGGCGACCCTCTTGTCCATCGGGATGGGTGCCCGCAGCCGGGTGGTGGCTCTCTGGAGCGCAGGGGCGAGCCAGGCACATAGCTCCAGGAACGTCCGTTTTCGCATGCGAAAGTTCTGGAGCCATTGCTAGTCGTCCCATTGCCCCAGAACCAGCCAGTCCCACCAGTCGGTACTGGTATCCAGTCTCCACAATAGCCTCTCCACGCTGGGGTGGGGATGGCACAGGGACGCCATGGCCTCCCTGGTGAGGGAGTCCAGAGCAAGGACTGCAGCAGCTGCAACCACTCCAAAATGGCCGGAAGGGGCCAGAGCAGGCACATGGCCACCTCCTATAAGGGAGAAGCGGTGGATGTCATATACCTAGACTTTAGTAAGGCATTTGATACGGTCTCGCATGATATTCTTATTGATAAACTAGGCAAATATAACTTAGATAGGGCCACGATAAGGTGGGTGCATAATTGGCTGGATAACCGTAGTCAGAGAGTTGTTGTTAACGGTTCTAAATCCTGCTGGAAAGGGATAACAAGTGGAGTTCCTCAAGGGTCTGTTTTGGGACCCGTACTGTTCAATATCTTCATCAATGATGTAGATATTGGGATAGAGAGTACTCTTATTAAGTTTGCAGATGATACCAAACTGGGTGGGGTTGCGACTTCTTTGGAGGATAGGGACATAATTCAAAATGACCTTAGCAAGTTAGAGAAATGGTCAGAGGTAAACAGGATGAGGTTTAATAAAGAGAAATGCAAAGTGCTCCACTTAGGAAGGAACAATCAGTTCCATACATACAAGATGGGAAGCGACTGTCTAGGAAGGAGCATGGCGGAAAGGGATCTAGGGGTCATAGTGGACCACAAGTTGAATATGAGTCAACAGTGTGATGCTGTTGCCAAAAAAGCAAATATGATTCTAGGTTGTATCAACAGGTGTGTTGTAAGCAAAACTCGTGAAGTCATTCTGCCGCTCTATTCTGCACTAGTTAGGCCTCAGCTGGAGTACTGTGTCCAGTTCTGGGCGCCACATTTCAAGAAAGATGTGGAGAAATTGGAAAGGGTACAGAGAAGAGTGACAAGAATGATTAAAGGTCTAGAGAGCATGACCTATGAAGCCAGGCTTCATGAACTGGGCTTGTTTAGTTTGGAAAAAAGAAGATTAAGGGGGGACATGATAGTGGTTTTCAAATATCTAAAAGGGTGTCACAAGGAGGAAGGCGAAAATTTGTTCCTCTTGGTTTCTGAGGACAGGACATGGAGTAATGGGCTTAAAGTGCAGCAGGGGAGGTTTAGATTGGACATTAGGAAAACATTCCTAACTGTCAGGGTGGTCAAATATTGGAATAAATTGCCAAGGGAGGTGGTGGAATCTCCCTCTCTGGAGATATTTAAGAACAGGTTAGATAGACATCTGTCAGGGATGGTGTAGGTGGAGCTTGGTCCTGCCTTGAGGGCGGGGGGCTGGACTCGATGACCTCTTGAGGTCCCTTCCAGTCCTATTATTCTATGATTCTATGATTCTTTGTGTCTCAAAGGAGCTCGAGCCCCCGGAAAGGGCTGCTGCCCTTTTGCCCTCTTCACAATGGTTCCGGGCTTCTGCTTTTGCGCAAAAGCGGCCCACCAATGTAGACGCCCTTTTGCGCAAAAGTGCATCGTTCTAACAATGAGTTCTGGACCAGTATAAACGCTCTCTTGCACAAATACTTTTAATGCAAAAACTCTTGCATTACAAGTATTTGCGCAAAATCATGCCAGTGTAGACGTAGCCCTAATGTTTTTATAAAGAAGACTATTGATCATTGCAGAACTAGGAGTGTAGAGACAACCAAGGTAACTATTTAAGCATTTATACATCTTCAATATCACTACAGTATACAAGGTCCAGATCTACAAAGGTAAATAGGCGCTTAAACCCCAGACTAAGGTACCTAAGTCCCAGTTTTAAGCTTCACGGCAATCCACCAAACCCTGTTCCATTGCCACCTAACCTTAGGTGCACTTGGTTTCTAAGTAAAGTTATCTAGGCACCTATGCTGCTGCCTCAGGGTATGCTCAGTGCTGCCTCAATATTAGGCATCCAAATGCCTAACTCCTACTGGACCCAGCACTATCCATGAATCCAGGGAAGACTTTCCTGGAGGGTGCAGTACGGGAGGCGTGCTTAGAGGCTGCCCACCAGATAAAGTCCCATTCAAAAATCAGCCACCACCAGCACCCACTTTACAGCTTTTAGCCTAATGGTTAGAGCATTAATCTGGGATGTGGGAGACCCAAGTATAATTCCTCCCTCTGCTTAAGGGAAAGATAGGATTTGAACGAGAATCTCCTGCCTCTCAAGGGAATGCTCTAACCTCGGAGATATGGGATATTCTGTGAGGCTCCCTCGACCTCCTCTGTTGCAGGTGTTTCATTAATTAATTAATTAAATTTAATAGTAATTGGAGAAAAGGGACTGGATCCTAGGTCTCCTTCCTCTCACATGGGTGCCTTCACCACCAGATTAAAGAGAGAGTCTCAGTGTCACTCCCTGTCTGTCCAAGAGACTCCTTAAGCATCTAAACACCTAACTTACTTTATGGAGCCAGTGCCCCACAAATATGACTGGTTTTACCCTCACAACACCTATGCAAGCAAGGTAAATAAGCAATATGCTTATTTCACAGATGTGGAACTGAGGCACAGAGATAACTTGCCCAAAGACAAATAGGATGTTTCTAGCAGAGATGGAAATTGAACCCAGATCTCTTGAGTCCTAGCTATGCATTAACCATAATATCTTTCTTTCAAGGGCATCAAATGAGGGGGGAAATGGAATTCTGTATTTTATGTTCTGAAGAAAAAAATCTCAAAAGACTGAACATGCACTTTGGAGCAAAAAAAAAAAAGTATTATAGTTTCAACAGCTGTACATACTGATCTATCTCTTGTCGACATACTTCGTCCACTATAATTCTGTGGACCTGCAAAGACATCTCCAATAAAAACTGGGAATATAAGATTTGATATTTCCAAATTTTCTTTGGTAAAATATAAGCAAGACAAAGTATTCAAGTCTTTTTTATTCAAAAAGAGCCAAGTGAAAGCAAATTCATCGTTTTCCCCTTTACAGGCCACTTTTATGTTGAACACCATACAGAACAAATAAATGGAGGGAAAGGCATATTAAACCAATTGTAAAGTTAGAACTGTGAGTTAGTTAAAATAAAAATAAGATCCTTGAACTCTGCTGTCTGCTGTTAAGGAAAAAACAGACTCTCAACTCATTTCAATATTCCTACTTCACTATGTCAAATGCAGTGAAGTGCAGCTCACTTCCAAAGACAGTTTATTCCAAACACAAAGCAATCCACAGAATCCAAACCTACTAAATGTGCCTTTGTCAGGTGCAGTAAGTTCGTTCAAGATCCTCTCAAAGATTATAAGGTTTGAAAAGCAAATGTGATATTTATAGTAGCAAAAACAAACAAAAAAGCCAGATGCTATGAGGTTTATACTGTAGTAATGTGTTTGTTACACATTCATTTTAGAAGAGGGGCTATTATCAGATTGGTTTGCTTTTACCCTAACAGACAATTAGTGCTAATGCTAGGAATTGAGAAAATACAGGCACAGCAGCTCCAGCTCCCAATTCAATTACAAAAGCCCACTGGAATCGTGAAGCCAAGCAAGGATTCAACAATCAGGGCAATCATATCCAATCAGTGAGCACCAGGGTACAGCTATCTATTCATCAGGGCATAGCGCAGCATTCTGTTAGTTTGGGCAGACCACAGATTGAAAACATAAAAAGCCATCTCTTTGCTACCCCAAGCCCCACTCCAGACTCATCCTTCTTTATAGCTATAGAGGGACCAAGCATAATGCATACTTACAGGCAGATCTGCATAGAAATAGTGTTTTCTGTCAAACAAGGACTTCTTGTTGATGCTGCAGTTCAGTGCGAGGCCTGTCATCACTGCTGCTTCTACACATCTCCTGTTGAGAACCTAAAGACACATGACATACAATTTCACTCAGATATTCACTATGTAACAAATGCTTCTCCCACACACTGCTTTACTCCGAGCGTATATTCAATGTTGCTTGCCTTCAGCAGGCATTATCTCTGTTGTCTTGCATGGGTAGCTCACATTCATCATCCTTCTGGCAGCAGCTACAAATTTGCAAAGTTGTATATGGAAAATAAAACCCAGCCAGTTGTTTTTGTTGAATGCTGCATGAGAAGCCATGCAGTGTTTTGGACTGCTTCTTTTGCAAACAATCAGTATTTTTGCCATTCCCCAACCTTCAAAGGATGTTTCTACTCAGCAAAGAAAAGTCCACAAGCTGGCCTGTGCTAGCTGACTTGGGCCCCTGGAGCTCAGGCAGTTTCACGGCTATATAGACTTCTGGACTCAGGCTGGAGTCTGGACATATAGGGTGCAAGGGCCTCAGAGGTCAAGCTCCAGTCCAAACCTAGAAGTCTACACAGCAACAAAACAGCTCTGCAGCCTGAGCATTGTGAGCACAGGCCAGTCCGGCCGGGGGGGTTGGTTTGCTGTGTAGACATGCCCAAAGAGTTAAAGGCAAATCTGAGCAATAGATGACAGAGGTATTTGCCAAATGATTTTTGATCTTTCATAATGGGTGCAACACAGGGGATTTGAGTCAGAGACCAAGGTTCTGTTTCAGCAAAGCACTTAAATATGCTTAATCTCACTGACTTCAATAAGATTTATGAGTGGATTTAAATGCTTTGATGCACAGAAATGAATTTACACATATGTATAGATACTTGCTGAATCAAGAGCAGCAGGCTCTAGTCAATTGAACATAACAGCTTATTACACAGATATCAGGATACAACAGGTGGGATAGAGTGGGGAATGTACTACACATGTGAATTTTAATATAATTCTTTCAGTTTCCTCCATGCAGACCTCAATCCTGGGAGATGCTGGATAATATCCACTCCCACAAAGTCCTGCAGAAGGATCAGACATCGGTGAAATAGGTCTCCTTTTTCCTTCCACTAGAAGCAGTCTATTTACTTTTATTGCATTCTAACTCCTAGAAGCCTCATGACCCAGAGCATAACAGAGAAAAAAATTCAGCTCCTATTTGAAATACTGAATATCAGAATGCTCTTTGAAGTTGTTTGCAGTACAACAGCATTCTTGTTGGAGACAGTTTTAAGTGTGTTAAGTTGTGCATCCTGGACCTTTTTCTTTGAGTATATTCAGTAGTATCTGAGGGCCTAGCAGTAAATAGGAGACTTTTTGGTGTGTTTGATGTGGTTTACTGAATCTCTGAAGGCAGATATGGTGATATGTGTGTTTCTTGTATACAGTTTTCTGTGGGAAGCTGTTTGTGGTGTCCAGGAAGTTCATGTTTGCGCTAAAATGTTGTAGAGACAATTTGATGAACGGATGGTGGTAGGAATATCTATGAGGTTATCTGTCCAGAGGATGAAAATATCATGAACGTATCTCAGGTATATAATTGGTTCCATGGTGCATTTGTTCAGAAATTCCTCCTCAATGTGGCCCATGAAATGTCTGGCATTTTGTAGGGACACCCTAATACCCATGGCTATTTCCGTGGACAAATTGAATGTACATGTTAAATTGTTATGGCTGAGGATGAAATGGAGGAGTTTGATGATACACTTGGAGTGAATCTGAGGTGTGTCTGTTGTCTTGTAGGTATATGAGGCAGGCAGCGATGCAGTCACTGAGAGACATGTTGGTGTATAAGAAAGAAACATCCATTGTGGCAAGGATGGTAATCTGAGGGAGGCTATTAATGTTGTGACATTTATGGAGTAAATCTGTTGTGTCCTAGAGGAAGTTGATCCTTTGTGTGGTGAGTGGCTTGAGGATGGCTCTGGAGTCCTGATATTCTTTCAGTAAAAATATCAAGGCCAGATATAATAGGTATGCATGCTTGAGTTCCCTGGTGTGTGTGTCTTAAGAAGCTTGTAGAAGATCCCAGGGATAGGTTTCTGGGGAATAAGGTTGTGGATTTCTCTTGGAGTTGTTTGAGGAAAGATTTGATAACCTTGAATTTTTGTGGGGGATCTTGAATTCTCTGTAATAGTTGGTGTTAGAGAGGTGTCAGATGTTCTCACTGATGGATTCATCACAGTTGAGAATTATGATGGCACCCCTTTTTGTTTGCTGGTTTGATCTCTATCTGGTAGTTGGATTTCATGGATTGTATAGCTGTTCTGACAGTGGTGGAGAGATTGTGGTGTGTGCCATATTTGCTCAATATTTCACAGTCAGGTTGTTTCCTGAATCAATCCAGTCAGATCATTGAAAGGCACAAGAAAAAAAGCATTATGTCATCATTGCTGTGTAAGAATTCTTGTGGTGGAGCTGACAAAATAATTCTTCTAGTTCTCAACATGTTATTATGGCATCAGGTTCAGAACTGGGGCTGAAGTTCAATCCCTTGGGGAACAGAAATAATTCAGCTCCAGTAAGAGGCACTCTGGGTAAACTGATGACGTTATGATGATGTGTAGTATACATGTAGTGGGTCCTGGTGCCATAGCTTATTCTGGTGGTGAAGTTCTGTGGATTGTGGAGTCATAGTTGGTTATACTTTCAGTTTTGTGTTGGATGGCTGCCTTTAGCATGTTATTTTATTTTGGGTTGTTTGTTTGCATAGTTGTTTTGGGTTTCTTCCATGATATCCAGGTACTCGATAGGGGCCACATCCAGAAAGAAATCTTTCTCAAAGCTCTTGTTCTGGCCGTCAAACTATCCACCAACCTCATCAAGTTCATTATCAAAAACCATAACATACCAATTCGAAGTGGCACCAGACTGTGGCAGAAGAATAGGTATAAAACCCGCAAACACATATCCACTGCTATAAGGATTGCCCACCCCAGCATATTTTTCAAGAGCCGTAGACCCTACACATGCTTATCACAAATATGAGTGCACCTCATCCTGTGTTTTAAATGTCTTAATAACAACTATGTGGGGGAAAGCAGACAATCTCTATGATCTTGAATGAACTCTCAAAGAAAAATAACAACACACAATAACACCATATAACCTGTACTGTTCACAAAGTGACCACTCTTCATTTAATCTCTCAGTTCCCATCTTCAAACGAAACCTGCATTACACTAAGGACAAGCCTGGAGGTTAAATTCATATCTTTGCTAAACACTAAAAATCACGGCCATAAGAAAAACACTGAGTTTTTGGCTTATTGCAACAATCCATAATGCATTAGCCTCCGCCTACAACTGCAGAGGTTCTGACAGGATCACTTTACCTTGAATGGCCCCTTAGAATGTGTGTTAATTACTTATGTCGGGGGTTTCAAACTTTATTGCACCATGACCTCATTCTAACAACAAAAATTACTACATGTCCCCAGGAATTAGAACTGAAGCCCGAGCCCACCTGAGCCCCATGACAAGGGCCCAAGCACAAGCGATTCGTCTCTGGGCAGGAGAACTGTTGCCTGAGTCCCATAACCCAGGGCTGAAGCTGAAGCTTGAGCCCCTGTTGATGGACTCAGAATTTGGTTTCAGCCGTGGTTCCCAGTCAGTGTAACATCAGCCCTGCCAGTGATCCCAGGCTGGGCTGGAGCAGCTGTAGTCCAGGGTCCTGGTAGCTTGTACTATCCCCACACATCCCTCCAGCAAAGGCTCTCCCATGCCTCCAGTAGACAGTTGGTCCCCAGCTGGGGGAGGGGAGGAGCAGCCATGATCTGCGAGCCCAAGATATCCTCCCCCCCAATCCCCTGCAAAAGCTCTCACATGCCTCCAATGTGCCTCCCCACTCTCACCCTCAGAATTAATCTCAGGTATTTTTAGTGTAAGTAAGTCATGGACAGGTAAGTGCTAGCCAGAAAACTAATGATTTTAAACTAAGCTGGCTGCCAGGCCCATCCCCAAACCCACGTCTATCGCTGGGAGCTATTAGGCCTTCCCCAAGGACTAGGACAATGGATAAGGTAAGATAACAAGGATTATTAACAGTAAACAAGGCAAGTATAAACAGGAATGGTATAGGACCCCACAACAGAAACAAACAAGCTTGACTGCGACTCAGATAAGCAAGCTTCCACAGGGCAATTGCCCATGTGCTTCTCCCCTGTCAGAACAGGTCTCATACAGGTGTCCCTGCGCTTCAGGGCAGGGGAAAGCCATTTGCGAAGTTCCATAACAGTGGCCTTGCACATTCTGAAGTTTTGCAGCCAGTGTTGATTGTCCCATACCTGCAGCACTATGCAGTCCCACCAGTCTGCCCATGTCTCATGGCACCAGAACTGGTGTTCCACTGTTTCCAAAGGATTAAATATTGGCTGTGGTTCCAATTAGCTCAATGCAAGGGCTTTCCTGTACAGCGTGCCTATGGCACCCTGAGACTGAAATACCTCCTCATCCTTTTTCTAGTGGCTCTTGAAATACTGCACCATTAGGTGCACCAAGGTATACGTCACCATCACAATGCTTTGATGCACAATAGGATCCATGAGAGGGGCCATGCTTGTGGTGCTATGACATCTGCACAGGTAACCAGGGTAAAAAAGGGCACAAAAAGCCTACTTCCCATTGATCACAAGCAAGAGGAGAGGGAATAGACATGTGCATTATGGGACGCTGACAATATGAACCCAGAACCACCTGCTGCACAGTTTTGGTCCCAGAATGCACCAGGAGCATAACTCAGAATGCAAAGTGGCACAGGCACTGTGGGATAGCTACCCACAGTGCATCACGCTCAAAGTTTATGGCATTCTCCCTATTGGGGACGCGCTACTTCGAACTATGCTGAATTCTTGTGCACGTGGGGACATGGACTTTCAATGTTATAAAACTGGGTAGCAAGAAATCAACCTTAATAAATTTGACCTTATCTTGTTGTGCAGACATGGCTTAAAGCTCTGAAGAATGACCCATCCAAGCTTTGGATGTGTTCCAGATGGACTCTCAAGCCAACACACTAACTAATGCAGCTGAAAACCTAATATACGG